GACTGAACTGCCTGCTATGGACACACTGTATACATAGTGATGTTGTAAAAGGGCAGAGAACATACTCAGGGATCCACACTACCCAGCCCACTCTCTGCTCAAACACAAAAACTGCACCTACAACCTCAGGCACAGTAGGGCGGAGGTATCATCACACACAGAAGAAGACTTTACAACAGCTTTTTTCGTGCCGCAGTAAGACTGATGGTAAATACAAGATGTGAAAAACCTGTGCAATAAGCCCGCATTACCCTACTAAGTAGAATATCATATACAGTTACACTATGTGCAATATTTGAAACTCCCCATTTTACCTGTTATCTTATTCCTGTATCCACAATTTTATTAACTATTTTGTATCCTTGGGTATTCTTGTTTTTTGGGTAATTTTATATTTACACTAGGTGTTTGTTTTTTTGGCTTTAAACTTTTTACCTGACTCCAGGAGAGCCCTGCACAAGAATTCCTATATGCCTAAACTGTTTATGTATAAATGGCAAATAAAAATCTTGAATCTTGACTGCTGATGTCATCCCTCTGCTGGGTTCGTCGCCATCAAGCCTATAAGGAACATTCACGTTAACAATTCCCATTTTTGTTTACCCTCAATTTATGTAACAGGCCATGCAAATTTGATCTTTAAGAGTAATTTAAACTAATCTGCAGTTGTAACGCACCACTTTTGTAAAAAGGTTACACATTTAAGCAGTACCAAACTGAAGGAATGCTAAATTTCACTTTGAGAAGTTATCCACAGCAATAAGAATTTGATGTCACATTTCACAATGGTCTGAACAATTTACTCACCATCTGAACTGTTGTCTGGAGGTTTGTAGTGTGAGCCCACAAAGCTTTGGGTTATCTTCTTCACTGGGTCCTGTGCCTCCGAGTTCTGGAGTTCATGTACTCAGCAGGTCTTCAGGTGCACTGTATTCAAATACATTGTTTTACAACAATATAATTCTACTTTAAACAAAATGATACAGGAATAGTTTAGCAGCTGTGTAGGTTTTGCTTGTACCACAAGGTCTATATCCAAAATTTAGTATGATGCAAACATGGATGAGAAAGCCTGTAATGGTGATCAAAAGCTCTACAAAAGACGGGTCGAGGCGCTCCCCTAATATAGTGGCAATATTTTAATGGGAACTTATTTTTGTCATGGTGAACAGCAAAATGATTGCTCTGAAGTAAGGGCTGCAACAGTATACCGGTTTCACAGTATACCATGGTATGATAATTGATGGTTATCATACCATGCGTCTTTGCTTATTACCGATACTGAAGATAGAAACGCATTGGCGCGCACCTTCCCCAGTTGCCTGTCAGACTCCACAACAGGCACCACATGCACACATGCAGCAGACAAATGGCAGAGAGCAGGAGGCCGAAATCACCAAACTACATTCCATCTTCCAATAATTACACTGAAATACACAGAAGTAGTATTGGTTTAAACAGCTGCATTTCATACCCGTCCATGATACTCAGCATCTGTAAAAGACATCCTGAACACACGAACACAGTAGAAAATACAGCTGTGCCACAAATATAACAATCTACATATACAATCGTTTACATGGGGTTTCAGCATTAACTATTTGCTCTTTTCTGGACATAAACATCAATTTTAAGTCATCTTGAGCTAATTATATTCCAAGTAAATAAACTGGTTCCAACACACAGTCATAATTTTATCCATCACAGTACCTTCCTGCTGCCTGAAGGGCCAGAGGTTGTGGTCTGTGTCTCACTAGAGAAGGCAATTAATCAGTTCAGGAACACCTGTTTACTCCCACAATAGTAAAATTTTAAAAAATAATAATGCTTTCTTGTTTGTATATTAGTGATAAAAATCTGATTTTTAAATACATTAGTAAAAGATGTACATAGCGTAGTTGTGTACATTTTTCTTTGCTTTTATCTGCTGCACTCTATTTACATTGCATTGACTGTTTCTTCTTCTCTTATTTTAGTTTGAGCTCCTGACGACGTATATCGGTGCAACCGCCCCCTAACGGCCAACAGACAACACTTTAAACTGTCCATTTGTGGTTGACAGCTGCCCCCTAGCGGCCAACAAACAGCATAACACTTTACACTGTTTAAATTAGTATTTGAATCTGAGTAAGTACAATCAATGAGTTGATACACTTAGGGGCAGTTTTCGGGTACTTATACCTTACTTGACTATTTCCATTGTATGCTAGTTTACACTTCTACTTCACCACATTTAAGATGTAAATATAATTTTTCTTCCTCTTTCTGTCCTCAGGTCGTACTACTGACTTTCACGGTCACACCTACCCTCTCACATAAATGTTGGCTATGAGTACACAGCACGTTACTGTATCTTAACTCAGAGATTATAGAATAAAGTATTTAAAGTGGACTAGTTGAAAAGACCAAACCTAATTAGAAACTCGTACTAAGCTGAATGTGACACCCTCTTTCAGCTCATTGGTTCAGCCCAGCCCTTGTACCCCTCTTCCATTTACTTGGTTCACTCTATCAGTCGTACCCGGATGTAGCAGGAACTACATTCTAAGTCAGCTGATTTCCACTCACAAGAGTATTAGGTTTTTACATATTCTAGTGCACTTGCATTATTAGTTAATTGACCTTGAGCTTTTATTTTATTAAGTTATATTTAAGGAATAATTCGCGCTAATGATTGATAGGCTTGCTATGCTACACACATGTTTCTCTTTCACAATTACCTCCCAGTTAGCTTAAAAATTGGAACATTTAGCAGTGATTAGCAGCTGATTGAGCTAGTTGTTTCACAACAAATAAATTGTTGATGCATTATTATTAACTATTACAACAACGTGGAAACCGGGGAAATGGAAAAAATTGCTAAAGGTGAGCGAAATCCGAAACGCAAAAATTATTTGCATTCTCGGCATGTCTTGCGCTTTTCTTTAGATTCCGGCTCATCTGATAATGTAAATACATGGTGTTATTTATCTGTATGATTTTTATTAGAATCGATCATCTTGTCTTTAGGATACCGAACTTTTAGAAACGTTTATAAAGTACAACCATAACAATGAGATGTAAATGGTTGGTTGATGGTTGGGATTCATGATAATAAAACATACTGTTTAGAGCATGCAGTCTACTACAGTGTGCTTAATAAAAAGCGATACTAACTTGTCACCATGATATTGTAATATGTACTATCCTATGTGTTTTTTGTTTCAAAACTGAATTTAGTCTTATGTGTACTGGTCCTGCAGATGTGGGTGATATTCAGTCCCGACTATTTGACCACAGACCAGTCGTCAATGCAGAGATCCGCTACTTTGTGAGAGAGTTTGAGGTACTTAAAGTAAAACTGTGAGGGCTCCTGAACCCTACACAACTCCTCCTGCAAACACTTAAAACGTATTAGGGCCCAACTATCATGAGAGCTTCTCACACATCTTCTAGAGGACTGTAATTTGTGTTCACCTGCTGAAGTGTCAGAAACTGACTCTGTAAACTCCACCCTTATCTGCCATCTTAGCTTAAACTACAACTCATCATATTGTGAGTCACAGATAAACAAAAAGACATTATTTTGGAGTTTTAATTATTGTGTTTTAACTAGGGGGAAAAGTAATTAAACTACACATTTCTGTTTACTATCTCCACTACAAGCAATTTTGTAATATGTCTGTTGTTTTAAGTACAAATTGACTTAGGGCAATATCCCCAAGCCAAATAACATCTGTAGTGGAGTGGTCAATATGCTGTACTTTAAAGGTACTCTGTTATCTCTTCTTGTTGAAAACAACTTACTTTTGCACTCATTTGATTAGAAGCAACATGTTAATAACCATCATTAGTCTCTATGACTACAGTATATTATTTACATGACAGCTCTAATATTTCTTCTGCTGTTTAGGAGAAGCGTGGGCACAGGGAGAGCAGACTGCTGGAGAATCTCAATAAAGCAGTGGTGGAAACAAATGAGCATATGCAGCAGACAGATTTTGAGAGTATGAACCAGCAGCTGTCTGATGTCATTAAACGATGTAAGTCTTCTCTGTCATGCCTTGAATGTGGCTCTGTTTTAAATTGCTCTAAAAGTGTGTTATGTCATGCTTTTCCTGACACTGAAGCTGTTTACAGGCACTTTTAAAAAAAAAGCATACTATTATTCAATTCACTGGGAATGTTTAACTTCATTGAAGTGCAGAGACATGTTCAGCAACAATGTGTGTGCATTCCACAGTGTTTCATAATTGTGCTATATTTCAATTCATCATAATGGTACTGTATAATGGCGCACTACTATGGTGGACCTATTATGGTGAACACTGCCTTACAGTTTGTCTTATTTTCTTTATTTAACGTTGAACAGTATTTTATCAAAACAGAAATGTGATGCTTCAAAACACGAATGTGCTCCTTTTTCTGTTATTTTTAGTATCTGCCTGGTTTAAGATGAACTGTACACTTTGAACATTGGACTATTTCTTGCATCTGTCCCACAGTGGAAGCTGCTAATCACATGGCAGAGAGAGTCCAGCAGAGGGAGCTGGAGGCACAGCAGGTAAAAATTCAGGCAAAGGAATCACAAATCATGTGGACACACTTTAATCCCCTAATACCCTAATGCCATTGTAAGTTGTAAAGGCATTTATAATATTGTGTTCTTCCAGAGCACCCAGCTGCAAGTGAACATGGAGCGTTTGAAAGATGAGTGGGCAGAGTTTTTGAAAGAACAGCAGAAATTAAAGGAAGCAGTGGATGAGGAGCACGCTATGGCTGTAAGAGAACTCAGTACCCAGTACAGCAAAATGAAGAAGGACCTGACCAAGTTTTCACCCATCTAATTAGCTACTGTTTGTGAGGGTGTGAGTGAACAAACACACTGTATGAACGCTTCTGTTTATTACAGACATCTACATCTGTTTTGCACATGAGGCATGAAGCTATTGGCTTTGATTGAGTACTTGGTGATTGACAGAAGAAGAACATAAAGCTTATAGGTTTTGCTCCTGCGCGGGAGTCAACATTTTCCAAATTGTAGATATGTAATATGAATAACGGTATGGAAATTTCACAGGCCATCAGAATCTCAGTATTCAGTCTTTAGCCCATGAAATTTGAGGTCTGACAAATGTTATTTTTAAATAACCAATCACTTGATTCTTTGCCTGTGAAATTTTAAACATAAAATAAAATAAATTTGCATCAGGCTCAAGCTGAGCGAAACTCTGACGAGATATTGTATTCAAAGCAAGGAAAACTAGACAGTTAAATGTTGGAACAGCACTTCTGAGCAGGTGTGTTTAAAGAACAGGTCAAGCATTGCAGAAACAAACAAAACAGTTTCATGAGCAAATCATCCATCACCAGCTCTCCTCTCTAATTTCAAGCCGCTTTTGGTGTAAAATGCTCAGCACAAGCTGTTTTTTGTTTGTTTTGCCACCTCAAATTGAATTTTAATGAGTCACAGATACTGTCATTTAAGCAGAAAAACAGATTTTTGTCTTCTGGAATTTCCTTCTGGTCATGTATACATAAAAACATTTTCAGTGGCTGGCGAGCATAACGTGTTTAAAATGCACAGACTGCTGAACACAAACTCTAAATGATCATTTCCATTTTGCTTATGTTTGCATAAGGAACATACAGACAGGTGTCAAATTAAGGGAAAAAACCTGAATGAGTGGTGTCTTTCAGGATGACAGTACCCTGATTCATAAGGTATGGTTTGATGAAGATGAAAATGATGTGAATCATACCCTGTTTCATAAGGTATGGTTTGATGAAGATGAAAATGATGTGAATCATATGCTATGGCCCAGTTGAACACCTAAGGGAGATTTTGGAGCAACGTGATCAACAACAGCATCTCCACCACCATATGAGGGAACATCTTTTGGAAGAATGGTGTTGATCTCTCCAGTAGTTCAGAGACTTGGAGAGTCAATGCCAGGTAGCACTGAAGCTGTTCTGGTAGCACGTGTTTTCCCATCACCATACTTTTTCTCTTAATTTCTTTCTAGTCTATGCATTTATACTGTATATACTATGTACATTATTGTCTCATGTCTGTATGTTACAGCAGTAACACTCACTTTTAAGTGTGTATCACAGATAAAAACAGAGCAATAATATGTAAAAGTTGTCATAGGAACTGGACAAGAAGTGAAGTCATGTGTGTGTCTTGACCCTGAAGTCCAGAATCTTTGAGCCTGATAGTAGACTCTGTTTTGTTTTTGCTCCAGATAATGGTGTGTTGTTGGACAGGTTAATGGATGGGTGGGTGCACTGGGCACATTCCTGGCATGGCTGAGAACTGAGTTTATCTCAGACAATGTAATAGAACAAATATTTAAGATATCCCCTCTAATTCTCTACTATACACTCCGTTGTCAAATGTCCCATTGTCATGTGAAGAAGCAGGGCTGGACTTCACCTCAAAAAATAACAAGGAAAAGTGAGAATAAAACAAAACAAGCTAGCAGTAGAGTCCCTCTGCAGAGTTTCTGGCATCACTGCTGAAGTGAACTCAGTGCTGTATCCCCTTTCACAGGAGCTGCAGCTTTTTTCCATTTAGTGAACCTATCCCCCTACTCGTATGCAAGGAAACGCTCTGGTTCCTCTGCCCATTTCACTGCATACGTGTGTGTGTGTGTGGCATCAGAACAGGACACGGTGCTTGTCCTGTCATCAGAGATCTGAGAGGATATAGACATGCCAGCAGATGTTTCAAAGCAAAGGGTCAGCGCCAATCTGCCCTTTGTATGTCTGTGTGTGTGTTTGTGTATATGCCTTCCCCATGCCTTGGTGACTAGCTGCAGATGTCCAACATAGACATAGCTCGTCAAGAGCTAACAAGGTGTGACAGTAGAGAAACATAACCGATCTCTGTCAGTGAGGCATGTTTTCATTTACCCTTCTTCATTTTTTCAGTTTCATTGGAAAAAAAGAACAGAGCACCAGAAAGGTCATCAGTAAAGTCATATGGGTGTTACAGTAGCTATTCATGAGTAAAGAGTCACAAATGTAGTTATTTGTTAGGCTTGATATTACAAACGACACGGTTTATGTCAGTTATAATGAATTTTGACATTGCTGTGTAATGTAAGATTTTGAAATATATTCAAGTCAGAAAATGTTTGGATAATTTTGTGCACTGATTTATAAGTAAGTCCAGGTTTGTTTTTAAAGTTGGGAGCAAGTTAGACTTTTGACAGGGTAAAGGGAACACAGGTTTGTGCAGGATTTAACCCTACACAACAAAGGTGCACAGGTAGATCCAGGTTTGAGAACTAACTTTTCTAGTTGTTGCCACATCAATTCTTCACTGGTTCACATCCACAAAACCAGAAAACATCTACCTAGCGATGAGGCTGAGGCAGGGTAGGAAAGCTTCCAGGGGAAATTACAATAGCATTGTTAATACAAAGCATTCTTTTCGCCAAAATAAATTGGCACTAAGCATTCTGGGATTTAGACCAGTGTCTGTTTGGGAGACTGCAACAGCAACAAGTCAAAGCATGGGCCAGAAATCTCAGCAACCACTCAATAAATGTTTTAGTCAATGGTATTAGAAGTGTCATTTAGTTGAATAAAACAGGGATATAAGGGCATTATTTGGTCTGTGCAAACATATGTCTGTCAAACATTAAATTAAGAGAAAATATACTCAAAGTAATGGCATGAAAACAGACTACAGGCTAAAGCATACTGTATAATCTTGTAAGATGAGCAGAGCACAGGCTTAAATCTCCTCTTATCATCCTCCTCAGCCTGCTGCCTCATGTCTCTGGACATTGGTTGACTTGTTTTTTGTCTGCTTTGTCCATCTGAGAGCAGCGTGTTCTTCCTGTTTTGCAGGGATAGCAGCGCTCTCAGGCCATGGAGTAGCCATTCCCTGTGCCAACATAAATGGTAAACGAAATAGCAGCACCCAGCTGGAGCCCTATTGGACAACAGACAGAGATATGAAGTGTGTTGATTAATGCAATCTGATGCTCTGTCTGAAAAAATTGCTTTCCACATACACTGGAACAGAATGAATAATATCACAGAGATGAAATGTGCACATGGCCTATAATGAAGACATTTACCACAAACTAGGATCTCAATAATTCATGTTAGACTGAAAGTCTGTAAGAACTGCTGGAGCTGTGCTTGAATGATAGAACAAAGTCACTTCAGTGACTATGGGAATGTCATCATGTTTATCAAGCGACCATGTTCCATGACAAAAGTTCCATTTAATCAGTCCACAGCACCATTCAACTGTGAATGTTTTGGTCTACACCCTATGCGGACCACCCTGATCATTTTCTTTCTGTCCCCTCATTTCCTGTCATATCTTAGCTGTTAAATAAATGCACTCAAATGTCCAAAATAATTTTTTGTTAAGACTATTTGGAGAAGAAATGTATCTGTAAAGCCCGAATTGCAGTTAAAACTGGCAGTAAATATGTAAAACAAACACTATCTTTATGTGGTAGCATCAGTGATAGCTACAGTATGTCATTATATGGTACAACCTCACTTCTGTATTTTACGCTAGTCTACGCTAGTTTTAGTTTTTATTTATAACCGCTACTAGTTTAAACCATCTAAACAATATCAATTTTAGTTTTTTTTTAACCCAATATGCTGTATGTGATGTAACCTATATGGATGATATGGGTAAAAATTCCACATCATTCATGTGCAAGGTCAACATAATGGTACTTAACAGAATTTACCTTCTAGGTTTGACTCAGCAACTACATGATCTCTGCAAATATTTTAGAAGCGTCATAAACTTAGTCATTATCACTGCAGGATATTTTAGTAGATTTCCTGACTGCTTTTGGGAATTTTCAGCCTCTGCATGCTCAGTCTCTTCTTTTGTGCTACATGATGGGCCCCTGTTACTCAGTTACTGAGGGGTCCAAAATGAAAATGCCAATGAACAAAAGCACTGTGCTTCCAAGTTAATAACCTGGCATAACAACACCCCAGGGAGTTGATGATGGGTTTGGGGCGGATGGTAATGTAGATGGTAATATGAATTCTTTGGCAATAGCAAACATTCACTCAGGTAATTGCTAAATAAGAGAGGGAAGTCTCTCAAAGCTGCAGTAAAACAAAATAAGAAATTGATATTTCCCTGACGGAAGGTTGCAAGGAGTCTCAGGCCCTGGAAGCTTTGGTAAATGAGCCCTGAGTGGGATGTAAAAGCAATCATTGGAAAGAAAAGGTTTGGAAATTAAACATCCCACTTTTCACTATAGATGTCAGCACTCCCTTATTAGCAAGTTCTGATATGATCCTTGGTGAAAACTGATACTGCATCAGAATCAGCTTCTTAACCTAATTCTAAAAGACTGCCTCAGAGCAGATTTCTCTTCTCTCTCTGATAGACACAGGCCCCGTTGCCATCATTTGTGCAATGAAAAGCCTAAGGTCTGATTAACTCAACACTACGTGATGTTTTGCATCTGTTCAGTTCCATCAGAAAGTCTTGCTAACAACAGCTCCAAGTATCTGCCAGGTCCAAGAAACACATAGAAAAACATTTTTCTCAATCAGTCACAGGGCAAACAATAGCCGAGACACGGAGAACAGCCTGTCATCGGCCAGTGGTCACCAGCAGCAACAAAGCTTGTTGTCGTTCAGATTCCTGAACCTTAGAGGAATGTCTGGTTTCACTGCCAACCACATACCTTCACAATGGCATTGAATTTCCCTGTTTTCTGTACCAAGCAGGTATTGTCCTGATGTTACTTTGCTTTGACTGCTATGGGTTCAGTTATACTTAACTCAAATGCATTAGGATATAATTTCAAATGTTTTTTGTTTTTTTAATACCATGTATACACTATTGTGTGTTTAAAAGAAAATAAACCAGACAATAAACGAGAAAAACAATCAAAAAGAAAGAAAGAAGAAAATTAAAAATTGAAAAACAAAGATGGCGTTCTAAAGAAACTGAAAAAAATTCTACCTGTTTCCTTCTTGTCAGCTGCTTACAAAAACATGTATATGTACAGTTGCATATAGACATACATCAACATACATATAGAGAAAGTATATAAAGGTCTATGTGTATAAAAATATTTAAACCCAAAATAAAATACACTTTCATTCATCTATAGCAAACCATTCAACCTGTACTATCTCCCTCCACCACTCACAGTTCTCTGTATTTTATTTATCCCATTCCTCACCCTCACTAAGAAGGGCCCACCCACTTTCAAAGTTAAATTTCTTTTCTTTATTATTATGTTTTGCATTTTCAAGGACCCACTGGAGCTTCAAACATTTGTTTGCAGCTGAAACTGTAAACCAACCTTTGTCACACTAATCCATGTATTTTTTTCCAGCAAGAATATTTAAGGTACCTTTCCCATTGTCAAATCAGCTGTATTTGAAAGAAAGCACAGAAGAAGATCCTGAAGATACTGGTGATAATATATACAAGGTGTGGGATTCTTTTTAAAGAAGTCTCCCTTCTTGCAGCATGGACAAAAACTGCTTTCATCTCATGATAAATGATATGTTGTCTGAAAAGAAGATTATTCTTGAAAGTTTTTGGGAGGTTGAACTTAAGTAGAATTGCACACCTTGAAAAAGGAAAGGTTTTTTCCTATTGTCAATTCAGGAAAACTTGGACTAAAAGCTGTGGAATTTCTCTCCTGCTGCTCTCAGGGTAGACCCTTTGCTCTCACTGAATGATCTCATGATGGGATCTCCAAGGAGCATCTAATATCCCACCTAGCTCGGCCCCTGAAACACAGTAAGCCAATCAATTGTGCTTTACAAGCCTGTGTGTGTTTCCCCATTCAGGAAACAGAGAATCCCTGCTGTGGATCACTGATGAAAAGTCATCCT